CTGTGATGCCGCGGCACTCAGCGAGAATGGGTGTGCGAGACGTGTGAGGTATTGCCCTTTGGATTTTTCTTGGTAACGTTACCTTGTTGGGGAACGGACTACGCATGGACGCACGGCTTTTCTTGTGACGAACGCTGGTTTTGGCCCACCCTGGCGTTTCTCTGTGCACACTCGGGGATTGTGCCCCGTTGTGTGGTTGCAATACGGTGCGGAAGTCGCCTAGCGAAGGCGCACCTTCGCCATTGAGTGCAGCTGGATTGGTCGAACGTTTGGATTCGTGCGTGACCAGTCCCAGACTGGAAGATTCGTCACCCGGACGCTTTTTACATGGTAGCACAAGGCTCGACGCCACACGAGCGAAGTCATGTTCCCCTTTCGCGTCGGGTGAGAATTGGCAATTTTAAGGCAACGCGACAAATCTAAACACCTGCGGTCCTGCCGCTGGTGTAAATGCGCCAAGCCACAGCATGCTGTGAAACGGATATTATGCAAAGAAATCAATGCGAGAGGCCTCAGCTTTCCTACATGCACAAAATCAGAATCTGTGATTAACAGGGGCTATCCAGATGCAAATGTCTGAAATGTACTAGCTTCTGTACATGTAAAGGAGCCAACAACATCATCTGCCAGGCTTGAGTGCTCCGGATCTCTATCCCGCATTAAAGAAAATTTCTTTAACATTTTGCTAACATTTAAAGGTCAGTCAGGGTTGTAGGCCGTCCCACACATACCAGCCTTGCTGATGTGAGAAGGCAGCAGCACAGATTCAATTCATTCAGCGCTGTCAAGGTTTCTGCATATGCCAAGCCCACATCACTGATTTCTGGAAGGCCCTCAAGGTCCAAACACACCAAGCCTCTCAGGTACTGAATGCACGTAGGCCTCAATTTGAGGACGCCCATACCACCGAATGTGTGTGATGTCATGGCATTGCCAGAAGAGGGAGGTAAGTCAGATTCCTCATAGATTGCTAGCTCAATTCCAAGCACCAAAATTGCAGCAGTCCTTCCAAATGACTGATACCATTGATCCCATCAATACCGAGTGCTTGAAACCAGTCACTTTCCCCACAACATGCATTCCCTTACGCTAGCAAAATAAGGACCAAATAGCCCTTTTTGCGAATACATACACATGCATTTCATCAGAATTCCAAAAACACGGAAATGGCCCAAACCCCTAAAAATCGTGCACGTTTACACACGTGTTATTTGGCCCTTTCTCCTAGTGTTATATGTGGAATTTCATCAAAAAGCCATAACAAGTAAGATAGCTCCGTCCAGCTCTCCAATACTGCAAGGTCACCACCAGTGATTTCAGGACAGCTCCAAAAACCAACTGCTCAAAATTGGTCAACCTCTGAATATGTGGCAAGTTGGAGAACGTAAAATTGCGTAAGGGAAAAGTCAAACGTGGCATAGTGAACTATGCAGTGGTTAGGTGGTGAGATCCTAACCGCATGAAACTTGTTGGCTCCCCAGCGCACTGCATGCAAGCATTTGTGGCTTGGTGCGGCCCCAAATCCAAGCGAGTGAGACAAGGGCATGCCAGAGCGGAGGTCCCCTCTCCAATGCATGCGTTGTACTACCAAGTGTTCGAGCCCCGAACCCTTGAGAATCTTTTAACAATCGTGTCTGCCATCGTCTGCAAGCAAGTGCTGCGCCAGTACCCATGGTCTTCTTATCGATCCCGGGAGGGCTTATACCCACCAAATGTGAGGAAATGACTGCAGCAGCATATACAGACACAGAAACAACGGATAGCAGCTACGTTCATGCATCTTACGCAGCGCAAGTGTGCATGTGGTTGCTAGGGTGCACGATGCAGATCGTCCCGACGGTGGGCGAAATGTGCTGCGCAGAGCTTCAATTTGATGACCGAATCCAATGCACTTGCATATTTTGCAATTGCATCCCAACTGTGATGCAGGGTACCGCGGAACACGTAAAGCAGTGTGTTGCCTGCTGAATGGCGCGGGGGCGCTTAGATAGCATCCCCAGCGCTACCTGGCATGGCCGGCGGTGCAGAGTGCATGGGTATGCAGCTCCCATGATCAAACATTCTCGTTCACTCGCAATGCAGTGCAGTTGAAAATGTTACTGCAACGTTCCGCCAGTTTTTCGTGATGGGCGTCGTATTTTGGATGAAAATGAATTTCTCATGTATCATTACTCTTTGCTTGTCACTGTGACCAGGCTTGGTCCTTGCGTTTAGCGTTTAGCGTTTTGGTTTTCGCGTTCAAGTTTTTGCGCTTGAAAACGCAGATTTACAAAAGAGGCTGTTTTTGCGGCTTGCTCACAAACAAACGTTGCGTGAGGAAGTCGGATACAATGAGCAGTCCTCCGCTTCTCAAGCACCCGCAACACAGCGTCCACCCCGCCCTCGTCAAAAGGTAAAAACGCGGTCAAGCAAAAGGTCGTGTCTGCCGGCTCCAGCGTATCTGGCTACCAATCCCCGGATTCCCTGAGTCTGCATGTACTGTCTTTATGCACAGCGATTCAAAATCTGCGTATTTTTACGCGTTTTTACGCGAAAAGACGTAAATACTATTTTTGCACGTAAAAGCGCACGTATGGTCAGTGTTACGCCGTAAAGACCAAGCCTGACGTCAGGTGAACGTATAGTCGACTATGGCAACGACGGGGGAGTCGAAGGCTTGGCGATTTGGTGCGGAACTCGGGGACACGTAAGATTGCACGTGCGCACGCCAGACAGCGCCCCCGCATTCTCGACGCCAGCCCTGAATCTGAGGGCTGAAAGGGCACCATCTTCCGTGATCTGTGGTACACAAGCAGCGCTTATATTGCAACGTGCGGCACAAATGGTAGTTGTGGAAAATTGTGCCAAAATTTAGGCTGGCAGCGCACACCATAATACCAAGGATTGGCTGTTGCCTCGATTGATGGCTTCGCTGCACCTTCTGCACAAATGCCGAGCACCTTATCGTTGAAATGTCCATCTGCGGCCAAGGCGAAGGTGGTTTAGAGAACGACCGACTTTCTTACAACCAGTCACCACCGGTAGCAAGCACAATTGTTGTGATGCCAGCCACGACGCCTGGTGATTTGGATTCCTTGTGTGAGTGGAAAGCACTCCTGCATACAGTGTTCCAGCGTGCCAAAACACGTAGCAGCCGCACTGCGATCACGCAGCCTCATTTCATTCTCTAAACAGCAGCATTCCGCTTACTTTGTGTCTCATGGGGGTGTGCTGCCGCGGTCTGTTCCACCGACTTTACAGCGCAAGGTGGCAAATTGGTGTATCAGTTCTTGGCCATAGACTTTAAAGATTTTAGCGAGCGAACAGCAAGCTTTTTGATGAGATCCAGTCTACGGTTCTGCGCAACTGTTTCTACTTGTCCATTCCAAGGATTCCGCTTTGCATTTCATGGAAATGTTGTGGAACGGACAGGGGACAGTCAGCCACCACACACGTTACCCACGACTGTGTTTTGACAGCACAAGGGACTTTCATGTTGGTATCGCAACTGGGCATTCAACGCGACACCGTCTACCGAAAGCATCTCAGCAATGTCCATAAAATGACTTTCTGGAGCGCTAGCAGTGATAATGTTATTTCTGCGGCTTGCACTGTGCAAATGTGGCATTTCGATGGCCAAACTTCCTCATTATTAGAATTACAGCATTCTGTCTCTGATCATGCCAATCGGGTGAGCAGCACATACTCAATATTCCTCCGCAGCCACACCTAATCCACTCTTGCCCAGCGGCGGTGTGGCGTTTTCAAATTTTCCTGGCATTTTCGGCCCCCCTCCTGTGAACCGTGCCGTTGTCGAAATACTGCAGAAACCGAAGCTGTTTAGATTCCGCTTGCATGTTTCCGGGCACCAGCAGAAGAGAAAGAGCATTTCCGCGGTGCCAAGTGCACTGCAGCTTGACGCAAATGGATTCCAACGCAATTATTGGGATGGCATCAAAGTAGCTGCCCCGACATCAGGTACTGCCAAATGCATCGCAGTTGCCATTGCAAAACCGTAAATTCAACTAATGGTATTGCACGACTTTGGTTGCGGGGTGGGAACGAGCATTTGGTGACCGCTTGCTGGAGGCAAAGTATGTATCAGGGCAAACTGTAGATCACATGGTCAATCAAGCATGCGCTTGAGGGAATGTGGCGCAGTACGCGTAGTGCTCAGCCGGACTGTCTGGACACAAGTGTCCGACACACTTCATTCGCGGATCTGAGGGTCATGCAGGTCGCATTTGGGGTTTTAGTTTTCAAGATTTTTATTTTAGGGTTTTGTTTAGTGTTTAGTGCAGCATGCCTCGTACCTTGATAACCTTACAATCCGAAAATGATGGATATTGGACAAAGGAAATAACGCAAAGAACAAAGCAGCATGGACTGTCACATCACAATGGGCCACGCAAACGGCTACGGATATAAAAAATCTGCAAGCCATGATCGTTGCACGTGTCTGCAGTCACTGTGCTCCTAACAGCTTGTCATCAAAGCAGCAACGTCAGTGTCGCTGTCGGCACTCGCCGCTCATCTCGCCGGGCAAATACAAAAGCAAAAATTATTACACAAACGTAGCATAACAATGTACAGCTTTCCTCGCATCCCAGACACCAGCCAAGGCGCCAACAACCTAAAACAACGATATAGTGCCATTGAGGTCCCCAGTCAAGCACCAATTTCTCGAAATTTAGACAACGCCAATTGAAAGTCTGCCCACCTGCCCATCAGCCCTCTCTGACTAAAGATCGTTCAGGGATCTTTCAACTCCCATCATTTAGGGCAAGCATGAGCAGCAGTGGCCAACATCTAAAACCACACCTCATCAGCAATGGCGGCACTTGGCAGCCAGGTCGATGAACGGATGCCAAGCGAGTGCCGAGTGAATGTCTAATTACTAAAAAGAATAGTACATATGCTGTGCCATTCAGCTCTGGAAAGAAATTCACAACCGCTGAGGCAAGGACCGATGTCTGTGCTGCGCTACGATGCCTGTGAGCACCTCAGCTGCCACCTGGTGCTCACACCACAACCAGCAAATTAGGGTCGATCCTGGCCAGTCTCATCAGACTATGCACAGATTGTCTTCCCCACGTCCGCTCCTCCCCTCCCAATACCAGTTTCCGAAGATGCTTCATGCCAAGGATCAAATCCACATCCTCATCATTGATCTCAAACACATTCCAGCTCAAATCCAGCTCCACAAGCGCCGTTGCTTCCCTCAGTGCCTTGGGAATTCTGTCCAGTCTGTTGTCGGACAGATCCATGGCGGTGAGGGTGGAGAGCCACGCGCCCGACGGCATGGCCTTGTTGTGTTCGGACAAACTGTTGCGGGCCAAGTTGAGCGAGCGCAGCCCGCACACGCCCCGAAACGACAGTGGGCAGAAATGAAGGCGGCATTTCTGCAACCCAAAGTGTGTTAACGACGGCAGGTGGTTCAGGGCTTCAATAAGGTCCACCAGCTCAACGTCTTCTTCCTCGCAGGAGACTGGCTGAATGAATGAGAAGCCCTCGAATTCCAGACTCTCCAGCTGGGTCATTTTGAAAATCATTGAACAGAACCTAAACTGGCAAACGTCCGATCCTATGTACAGTGACTTCAAGGCAGGCAGCGCTGTCAGGCTGACAAAGATGGCTGGGAGCAGGTTATTGCTGCGAACATATCCCTTGTACACCGTAACTTTGAGCTCCTCCAACCGCATCAGCTTGGACACAGCCTCGGGCAAGTATGGCACTGTTGTGTGTTGCAGGTCTAGTACCCGCAGGTCACCCCAATTGCAAAACACTCCCTCTGGAAGGTCAAGCCCCACATGGCCCCAGTTCGTCAGCCTCAACTCTTCAAAATACTGAGGAAACGAGAACACATTGTTTTCCTCGATCGAGCTCATTCTCACGTTTGCACTGCCTAGTCGCGGCTGCTCCACAAAGGAGACTTCTAGAATCGAAAGTTGTCTCAGAGCGGACAGGCTCCGAATTGCTCCCCACTGCGCATCGCCCTTCAACTGGAGCGAAAGGTACCTCAGCCGCTGTGCACAACGGATTCCCAGTGAGTGCTCAATGGAAAATGTGCCATTCTTGAGCCGTACCATCATCAAAGTCTTGCTCATCATCCCAAGAAGCAGGCCCAGAACAGGCAGTTCGAAGCCAGCAAAATCGATGAACAGCCTTTCCATTTGTGCTGGCCTCCTGGCAAACCAGTCCACCACATGGTCAGCATCCATCTCACCCTCATGATGCCCCCTCCAGTTTGTTGCATCAAGGCTGCACGACCGCCAGACAGCAGGTTCTGTTTGCATCACTCGAGCCCAGTTTTTGCACACGAGGGGAAGCACGAGAAGCCTGGAACACAAACACATTGCACCTGTGACATCTACAGCCTTTCAATGCACAACAGAGTTGCTGAAGAACACATTGTGTGATACAGAAGCAGACACAGATGGTTGGGCAAATCACCACTCTATGCACTTGGCATTGTGGACAGTGGAGAATGGCAAGGACTTGAATGTGTGGAAGGTTGCAGGATGGTTTATGTATGGGACACAACAATTGTCAGCTTGCACATGCGTCTTGGCAGCACATATTGCAGCGAGGATCCGGCAGTTTATCCTCGATGGATGCATAATTCGGACCTCAGAAATTGGCATTATCTAACAAAATCAAATGCATGTGGGCTCTGATTGTTGGCACTTGAGCAAAGTGTGACCATTGCCAATGTCAGACAGGTTACAATCCAAATGTCGTATGTGTTACAGACCACATGAAGCATTGCAGCAAAGAATGTCAATAGTTCCTGTGATGGGCTGGAGGGGAGATGGCAAATTTCAATTGTGCGATTAAGAGTTGCAAACACAGACAAATGCTGGGAAAAACCACCAATGCATAACCCCCAATCGTACTATAGCATATAAACTCGCAGGCTCGCCCGTTGAGCCCTGCCTCTCCAGGATTAATGCGCCAAACTTCACACAACAGCATTGAGAGAGCTATGCACATGCCCCTGGCAAATCTGCCTCAAGATGCCCCACCACTGTCACCACCAACGCTGAGATTTTGCGCAGCTTGGGAAGCCAGTGAATTCCGCCCTTTTTGCCTTGAGTCCTTTCCACTCAAAGTGTTGACAATTGACACCCCTGGCATCCCTTTGGCCAGAATCTGGCCAGGACTGTAGCATGCTGACAATTGTGGATCTTGGACCACAGTCCCCAGCACTCACCCAGCCAATACTCCACCAGTGCATGACTATGTGCCCAGCAAAATGGAACAATGACAGCAACATGTGAGAGTGGCATTCAGCCTCTGTCAAAAATGCAGCTGGCAAGGACAGCACCCTTGAGCAAATTGAGACTAACTTCACAGCCTCACATGCTCTTCCATGGAGAATTGACCCATGCAACCAGCAAGGCAGTCGATCAACGGCAGGGGCACATCAGTGACAAAGGAGTACGTGGTACAACCCTAATGAGCCTCCCAACCAAAACCAAGCTTTCTGTGATTGATCATCTTTGATCGATCCCACCAAAGCGCAAGTCTGTCTTGGGGTTTGCTGCTCAGTAGTACGCTCCCCAGCTGTGTGCTCACAGCGATCGTCAACAGCCTGCCTTGGTCCTGAACCAGACCTCTGTCAAGCGGAACTCACGCCAGACCTCTGTCAACTGGTCAGGCAAGCGAGAGCGGCGATTGGTTCTCATGCATGGGTACACAAGTCGATGTTTCTGGCAAAGTACTGTGCATACATGGGGCACCCACAAGAACATGCCGCCTCTGGTGAAGCAACCCACTGGGTGCAACCACCAGTCTTCCTCTCCTACAACCCTACAGTCTTCCTCTCCTTCAACCCTAGTCACATCTGCCACGTCTATACAGACCAGACAAGCAAACAGCTTGTCTCGCATTGCCAAGTCACCAAACCAGATCAGCATTCCCAACTGTCACTGACTCGAATTGGCCAGGTTTGTCTCCAAGCTTCCTTCTGCCAGGGTGGTGAAGTACCAAACGCGTGGCATTCGCGCAGTCTGGCTGCCAATGGCCTTCAACACGGCCACACGCCATCGACGCACGATGCCTCCCTGCTGCCCCCCGTTCCCTTCTTCAGTGCACAACAGAAAAGACAGCAACTCCACCAAACGGCGACGAAAACGAACGTGCCCAGTTCTTTTTCCGCGAAGGTTCTCCAGGCCAGCTGACTCACTGGGTACTTTCCCTGACACACTGCGCCCCGACCCCTCCCCCCGCCCTTCACCAAGCCACCCACCTCTGACCGAAAGGCACCAGGGAGAAGATCTTGGCGAGCACGGCGTCCGGCATGCAGCCCGCCACCGGGTTCCTCCGCGGCGCAGCGTCCCCACACCCCGCCACCTTGCGCACCACGACTCGACGCCATCCCCCTTCGCCCATCTCGTCCCGTGGATTCACCCGGTGGGCTTCCAAATGCCGCACCGACGACCGACAGTCGCCTATGCGGGGATGTACAGGAGGCTGAATGGGCACCAAAGCCCCACGGCTTTGGCGGGGGGCGGGGGAAGAAAGGCCTCGGCACACCGCCAGCAAGTTGGTTCCTGCGGCGGCGCCAGAAAGACGATTCACAAGCTCTGATCGCAACATCATTTGCAAATACGCAAGTTTTTCTGTTGGGAAGCAGTCGCGCGTCCCCAGCGTGCAGAGACCTTTCGCACAGTCCTCCGTTGCATGGCGAAGAGCCTCGCGATTGATTTTGCTGGGAGGGGAGCGCCAAATGCTTGACGCGCATCCTCTCTGTCAACGAGGCAGTAGTTGGATTCCCGCCAAAGCCAAGATCTCTTCGCGGGGACGTGCGACGGCCAACAGCCAGCAAGCGCCGCGCAGAGGGGGCGCTTGCCGCTCTCTCTAACCATCCCCGGGCTGCAGGGCCAGCCGCCTGTCCGGCATCCTGGACCGCGGGGCCGGCGAGCATGAGGGGCGATGCATCCCGCGAGCAATTCCAAACATCCGATTGACAATCCAAGCGGCAGCGATCCAACGATCGCGCAGCGCCGGGAGGGAGACGCCTCGGCACAACGCGCCCGCAGGCGCTGCGCTTGTGCAAGACACCTGCCGTCGGAGCGCCCTCGTCCCGGCTGCTTTCTTTTTGCGCGGGGGTGAGTGCGTAGTGAGTGCGTGTGCGGTGTGCGCGGCCGAGCACAGCGGACATGTTACTGTTCGGCCCAGCACACTCTACAATTTTTCCCCCAAACAATTCCCAAATAGATCCAGTCGCATCTGGCAAATGGCGTCAGGGACTCAAAATGGATTCTGCGTCTGCTAACATGGTCGGGAACGTTTGTGCGACGGCGTCATTTTCCAAAAGGATGATGCAAGGGAGATTTACAGCGGTTGGCTCCACCAAGGCCCCACTGCCCACTCCCTTTCACCAGAGAGACGAACACCAAGTCCACGCACGATGGTGCGCGAAGGCATATCAAGCAGCCGTGCGGACCAGGCACAACACAAGCAGGTTATGTTTGACCAGGCACTTGGACGGAGGACATCGATGGCGGCTCAGGGCTGAGCCGACTGTAACTGCGTGCTGGCCTGGGCGTTGTGACACGCCACGGGAACCGTCAAGGTGGCTTTGAGGCCTGGCAACGTCGAGACTGCACAGTTCCTGGGGCTCCGGCAGCAAGTGGCGATGGAAGCCGTTGGGGAGGCGTGGAAAGTACACCGGGTTTCGTTTTCTCTCCCTCCCCCGGCCTTTTGAGAAATGCTGGTGGTGATTGGGGTGTGTCTCGCTCTTCTCTTTTCCGGGACCAAATGGACGAATTGTTTTGGGGTGAATGAGCCCCAGAGAAGAACATTCAGTAGTGGTGGGATGTTTAGACAATGGATTCCACTATGCGTTTCGAATAGAGCTTATTTACTTTTGCTTTTGCGTGAGTGACGGTCTGAAAATGTGTATCTATTTGTGTTTCAGCAAGTCCCCTTTGTTCGATCGATTCAATACATAGAGGCAAACATACGCTGCGGTGGGAGGGAGCAAGAGATAGCGGTTGCACGTTTACGCCAGAACTATGCCGCCCAAAGTTTTCCGACAAAGATCTCCACGGACGACCACACTTTGCCGTTTGTGCGCCTCCGGAGTTCGGCGCAAGGGCTTTGTGCAAACAGAGCCTCACAAGTGTGGTCGCTGCCTGATTCGATGGCATGAACAGATTTCCGATATGACAACCTCACTATTGCGATCGCTCTCAAGAGCGACAACAGCGAAAAAACCTAGGTCCCACCAGCAACATGCTGCCTAAGGGCAAGTGAAGTTGCCACGCCAGATTTCCCCATTCATTTGGCCCTGACTCCGACTTAAACACATTCGCTCCTTCGCATTCCACAAATTTCCGCTTGCATCACAGAGTGCCAAATCACCCTGGCGGGGCCGCGGGCCGTCACCTACTGCAGGCTCGTCCCCACACCCGTGCCCCTCGTCACGCCACCATTCCCTGCGACCCTGACAGCCTGACGTAATCGCTTAAATGTGCAGCGAAGTGTTACGGACGCCCACGCTTGATAGTTCGCTGGCCATTTCGCCACCGGGGAAGCCGCTGGGCGGGGGTGGTTTGGGAATGTGCCGGAGGCACCGGAGCTGCGGGCAGATGCCTGGCAGCGATGTCCCTTCACGCTCAGGCCATCCATTCAGCCCATGTGTCATGATTATGCCGCATCAACGTCACCAGCAGCCCCGAACGTTGCAAAAACACGCGCCAGCGTTTTTTCAACGCATCGCGAATCCGAAAGGATCCCGACTACACGCGCCCCGCCTCCCAGAAATCCATCCGCCCAGGCGCCCCAACCCTGAACAGGGCATACCTCAGCGCGACCGAGTGCCTCGGAGGCGCGGGGCGCGCCCCAGCGGCGATGGCCGGCACGGCTGTGTCGGCCAACCTGTCGACGGCGCAGTGCAGCCACGCGCCGGTGCCCAGGGACGCGGCAGCAGGCCCCTGGCGAACGCTCAGGCGGGGCCAGGCCGCGCCGGGCGGCCGCGGCGTGGGGCTGGTCCGGGCGACGGGAGGTGAGCGGATAACCGCGCGGAAATGAGGCTTCGCAGGAATCGGATCTTTTGGCGCGCGCACTGGCCGCGGGAAAGGTGTTTTTCGGCGGCAATTTTGGGATGGCCCGCGATGCGTCTGGATTGATCGACGCAGGTCTCCGGGCCTGGTGCGCCAGCGCCATCGCTCCCGCCAGAGCTTCCGCCGGCCAAGAGCTGTCCCGTCGCGTTCGAATCTTCCGGACTTGACGGACGCGCGGCCCCGCGCCGATGCGGGCAGCCCTGGGCCGAGCCTCGCATATCGGGCTACCCGCGCCCGTTTCGCTGTGTCCCCTCCAGCTCGCGAGTCTCCGCCCGCCTCCATCTCCACCCGCCACGATCTCGAGGCACTGCGCGATCTGGGGTACCCAGTCCGACGACGTCGCGCTCGCTGTGGATGCATCGCGCGGAGGGATGGGGCCGGGGCGGAGGGGTTACCAATCTTTTGCCTCTGCCGTCCACCGTCGGCATGCGCCCCGCCAGGTCTTGTCCACGTTGCCACACTCCCTCACTCATCACAGCGCGTCCTGAATTTCCTGGGACCGGTCTTACCTTCGGTAGAGGGGAAACGCGCGTTCCGAGGGGAGGGGGTTTGGTCATGGCTCGTGTGGGGTGCGCCCTGGGTATTTGTGTGTGGATTCCCCTAATTTGGTTCGTCAAGGTACACAAGACGAACAAGACCGTTTCCATTTGAAGGCGATTGTTGGCGCAGCATCAGCCCATTAACGTTGGTTTGCTCCCCTCCTGACAGTTGTAGATCTGTAGGTGTGAGGTGCTGTGTGTGGTGTTTGTGGTGGTGGTGTGGTGTCCCCACGTTAGATAAGGCGTTTGGGTGGCATCCGTGCTGGCGATTGAGATGTTGCACCCCTCCTGGTCGAAAACGGTCGATCTGGTTGTGCCCAATGCTGTTGATCCCCCTTCCCTCAGCCACGGTTGGCACTGTGCTCTGCAACCCCACAGAGTGGGACCTGGAGAACCAGGCCCATCGCACAGCCAGAATCTGATACACCAAGTTGATGGGGCGGGCCCAAACACCAGGTTAGGCGAAGCGGTTCACCAGAAATGCCACGTGCGACTTGTCAAGTCACACCCAAGTCGATGGCTTGGCATGGTGTTGATGTCCATGAGATTGCAGCTACCGATGGAATTCTGGTTTATCTATTATCTTCTGGTTCCATTCCGATGTGCCCCACTGACACCACAGTATATTCCACAGTCTGTTGCTGCTGTTGCTGAAGCCATCTCTGGCTTGCAAATGAAACCAAAACGTCCACCATGTTCCGCATGGCCAGGGCGACGTAGTCACTTGCCTGCGAGTTGGAATGTGGAGTCGCCGCTCCGATCAAACCCTGCAGAATCAGGTCATGGACGCTCAAGCTCTCACAACTGCTATGTCCACTGTCCGAATCCGCACTATTCTGTCCCCCAGCCTGGATGTACTTTGGGGCAACTGTCATTTATCAGGAGAGGTTGTGCTGATTGAGAGCATCGTAATCGGTGCCAGAACTCTGCAGAACAGCAGGTGCCAGCTTCTGCTTGGCTGCAGTTTCGCACCTTCATGCGCATCCATTGGCTGCTGAACGTCATGGGTTGCAGTCGCCAGCTTGGTTCAAGACAGTGCACCTGCCAGGTTTTGTGGTCACTCAACATTGCGTGACCTACAGAAAACTGCACAGAAATTGGGTAGCACCTCTGCAGCATGTATGAAAATGCCTTTGTGCCCCTTCCACAAGAGCTTCTTGTGGCAGATTGCACAGTCATACCCTGCCTTGCTGGTGCTGCCAAGGCTCCTGTACCTGCATATTGTGGATGTGAGATGGGCTTTCGTACTTGGATGTGCTTGCGCAACCGCATGCCTGTGGATATCTGGACGCAGATGAGCTGAAGGCCCATATGCATAGAGAATGGCCTCTGCTTCTTCTTTTGGATACAATGCGTTGTTGTTCTTCCAAAGCAAGGTGCCCTGCATCTGTGCAACTCCAGAGACAAGCCAACAGCCTGGGACAGACACTTTGGATGCAGTATGCGCCTGTCAGATGCAGTGCCCATGCACTGCCAAGTTGTGACCACTGCTGTTAAGCATCTGATTCCATTGTGGGCAACTGTGCAGCTATTCCAGAACTCAAATAATTGAGTTCCTATTTAGTGGTTGGGTCCAGTGATTGACCCCTGTAACAATGGCTGCATGGCAATTTGTTGATTGGCCATTTCTACACGTCAGCCATGAGGGATTCCATATCACCTCTTCTGTGCACAGCAGTGTTCGATCACTTTGTCGACGAACCTAGGAATAGCAGGAGATTCCAGGGCAGAGTCCCGACAAATGAATTCAGTATGTTGATAAGTTGGTGTTGAAGAAAGCATCTGACCAATGGCTTGTAATGAATGTGGATGTAGCACTAAAATGGGGAACTGTGTGCCATTGTTTTGCAGAGTCCTCCAATGGTGCCCTGAATGGCACGGGGGGTGCCCCCCAGGATGCCACCTTTGTGCCGGTGGGCGACAACGTGTGGAATGAAGGTGCCTTCCCCAGCTACATGCAGAGTGGCGATGAGTCACGCTTCTGTAGTGACTGGCAGGAGGCACTCAGCGCAGCTGAGGGGGAGGGGCCCAAGCGGAAGAGGGGCACAGCCATCTGGGAGAAGATGATGTGAGAATGCCCAGCCCGTGGAGTTATGGACTCTCTTGTTGCCGAACCTTGTTTAAACTGTACTGCTCCTGACTCTGCCACGTAGTTGTTCTGTGTAATATTCTATGCATCATGGCACAGTTGTGGTGCTTGGCATGCACGTCTTTGATTTGTTGGTGTGGCAAGAGCTGGCTGAGGAAGTTGCTTGTCAATACTGGACAAAGCACATCCATGTGCACCTACCAGGCGATGTCACGAGCACTTTTGGCATAACCGGATCATTGCCTAGCACTTGCATCGCCCTTCTTGCACTTTCTGATTTGATGTTAGCCACCTTAAGGGAAATGCGCCGACAGATGCACACCAGCACCAAAAAACCCCAGCCAAGAATTGTTGTGTCAAGTGCAGTGTGAGCAACTTTCATTTTCTGAAACACATCTGCAAATGGCCCGGCCTAAGTGTGGACTAAAGTGCAGCACGTTGCTGACTGCCAGCATCCAACCAAAATTTGTGGCTGTCTTTGTTGTTATCATTGCTGTTGCTCGATTCGTTGTCGATTGAACATCTGTCAGCTTGAGCATGGGGCTCACAATAGCGTGGGCCCCAAGGGCACTGCTTTGTCAACTTGACAGATATTCTAAAATGGCATGATGAGTGAATGTTGGGTCGCACATGTTCTGCCATGTACCTTTCTATTATGCCCTGGCTACAACCAGCGTTGTGCAGTGGAAGCAGAGGCAGTAAGTGTGTCACAGGAAGTGAAAGTAGTTCACTCATGGGTATTGGCAGTGCTTGGCAGAGATACCACGAATGCAGGAAAGGCTACAATGTGCACTGCATAGTCACAATAGTCAGCTCAACTTGCACTATATAGCTAAGGAGTTCCCACTGTCACACAGTCTTCGCCTTGTATAATCCTAAACTTCACCTGCAGGCTGGAGGCAGAGAGGGATGCCAAGAGCGAGCCCCTGCTAAGCAGCTTCCTGTATGCCAGCATCTTGGCACACGACAGCTTCGAGCGTGCCCTGGCCTTTGTGCTGGCCAACCGCCTGGCCAATGCCACGCTCTTGCCCACGCAGCTGTTTGAGATCTTCTCAGAGGTGCTTACACAGGACCAGGGCACGCTGGAGTCCGCGCTGTCAGACATCTCCGCTGTTGTGGAAAGGGTGAGCGCCTGCACTGCCTGGACCTCAGTGTCCAGCTGTTATTGTGATTTGTCAGTGCCAAACAAGGATATAACTCTGATGGTTGACTGTTGTGTCCTGGCCCCTGCAAACAATACGTGGTGTTTCTGTCATCAGTGCCCTGCCTCTTTTGAGCTCTTCCAGGCTTCTTGAAGGTGCCCCTTGAATAAACAGTGCTCAAGATGACACTGGATTCCTTCAAGCCACATACTGTCTTGAACTACGCAGCCTTTGTTGCTGCCCTGGAGTCCTGGCATGCACAAGTGCGCTCAATGACTGACCAGTACTCACAGTTTTGAGCTCATGACTGCTTTTGAACACACAGTCCCACCTTTTAAGCAGTGGGTGCAAGTCCTTTCTGGTGAGTGTCTCATTGTTGCATTTAATTTGTGTGGACCAGGCGATTGCCAATAGCTATGTCCCAGTAATGAAGACAGCACTGCAATCCTGACTGGCCCCCTTTGTTCCTTGCTAACGTTTTAGTGCTGCAGTGCTGGGCTCATTGCAGCCCCGCTGTCAAAGATGTTGTTACTCTTTTGAAGTGAGGAGCAATCCTGACGGTCAAAGTCCTGTGCACCCTGGACATCAGGACCCAGCTTGTTCCTCGTTCAGCAGCGCCCTGCTCTACTTCAAGGGCTTCCAAGCACTCCAGGTGCATCGCATCGCCCACGCCCTGTGGCACCGTGGCCAGAAGGTGATTGCTCTCACTCTACAAAGCCGTGTGAGCGAGGTGTACGCGATGGACATACACCCAGCAGCGACCATTGGCCGTGGCCTGCTTATCGACCACGGCACTGGCGTGGTAATCGGCGAGACAGCTGTCGTAGGGAACAATGTGTCAATCCTGCAGGTGAGTGCGGAGGATTCTTTGCAGCAGAAGTAAATCGTGTCTAACGATTGGCAAGTCCTGTTGGTCACAAACGCTTGTGAGTGTGCAAGTCGCCAGGTGCCCATCATCGCCTATCAGGTGCAAGGGCTGTGTTTTGCCATTTCATGGCAATTGTAATCGACAGGTTGTGATGAAATGCAATAGAAAGATCGCAGTGCAGAACTGCATAAGGGCAATGAAATGTATAGTCTTATTGGGTGGGTGTGTGGCGGCATGGTTGAAGAGTTCGGTCAAGCACATTGACCAGCATCTGGAAGCTGTGCGCTATGCACAAAGCTGATGTGGGTGGTATGCGGGTTGGGTGGACGGGGAAACACACTTTGCATTGTCACAGGGCTTCCTGCAGTGGATCATGTCAAGGTGTTTTGGCTGTGCTTATGGCTTATGGTGTCAGTGGGTGCCTAATGAGCTGCTCTCTCGCGCTGCTGGCCACTCACCACACTGTAATTTTGGTGTTGTCTTCATGCCAGTATCATTAGTGCAGTTTAGGGAAGTTTTACGCCTTCGTCTCATGCGTAAAATCCTCCAAATGTTGCAAGACTCAGATCATATCCCCTGAATCGGGTCCACCTGTAGCAACCAAAAGACCTGGGAGAACAACAGTTTAGCAAGGAAGGCAATGGAGTAAGAGCAATGAGCAAACAGATTGAGAATAGAACAAACAAAAAGACAAAACAAAACAAATAAAAAGAGCACAACAAAAAAGCTAGAAAGAGTTAACATCGAAAATGACATGGATGTGTCTGCCCTGTGCAGAATGTCACTCTGGGTGGCACAGGCAAGGAGGTTGGCGATCGCCACCCCAAGATCCATGACAACGTGCTCATTGGTGCCTCTGCCACGGTGCTGGGCAACATCACCATTGGCAAGGGAGCACAGGTAGCAGCGGGCTCTCTGGTGCTGAAGCCTGTGCCCCCACACACCATGGTCGCAGGCAGCCCCGCAAAGGAGGTGGGCAAGGTGTCAGGCAATCCCGCCCTCAAGATGGACCAGTGGAGCAAGAAGTTCGACCCGTTCTGCGACATGTTTGGCCAGGTGAGGGTGTGCGGTGGTCGAGGTTGGAAATTTATTGCTGGCATTGCTGCTACTGGTGCAGTTTTGGTGGTGTAAGCTGGAGTCTATTCAGGAGGCACTATTCTTGAAGTGGAGTGGAGGGTTGGAGTGTGCAAACTACCAACTTACCTGAGCGGATCGAAGCTTTGTAGAGAAGACTGCAGCATTTAGTGGATGTCGAACGACGGCCAATAGTAGTTGCATTCGTCCGCTGGTTGGGAATTGGCATTATGTTGCCCGTCATCACCTTCAGGATCGTTTATGGCCACTGATCTAATTTGTGGCAGTGCACCACAGCTAGTTGCAGCTGCAGCAAGTTGCAATCCATTGTTGAAACAAACAGGCAACCCGATGCATTGTTGTTGGTGATGAGGTCAGTGTACCTGATTGGTACTGGGCCCTTCTGAGTTGTAGGCTGCTGATATGTCCAGAATGCACATTTTCAGACTTGTCCTTGTTCTGTGTGCAATGTATCGCTCAGTTGATGCAACATTCCACTGCAAGCATGGCCAAATCCGCTGGCTGAGGGGTGGCATTTCACTTTCCCTGCTGAAGTGTCAACTTCCAGAATACAACCAGCAGACTCTCTGCCAATGTTCTAGTGTTGGGGCCACGAATGGCGACAAGTTCGCCCAATACTCGATTTCGCTGGTTGCAAACACCACCCATTGTTACAGTGACCACCTGTGTGAGGATCGATAATTGCCTGGGGAACTGACATGTGAAGGATGGTGCTTTGCACCTGTCGCCACCCTCAGAGGCCACAAAATTCGTAGGGAAACAGAAATCACTCTGTTGTGTGATGTTGCTCTGCAGCCAGTGAAAGAGCAGCAGCAGGAGCAGGAAGCATCCAGCGATGGTGTGGCTCTTGCCATGAAGGAAGCAGCCAAAGACATTGTGGTGGTCTCTGAAGAACTCCAGGAGATGCCCCAGGAGGTTGGTTGCAAACACCACCCATTGTTTGGGTGACCACCTGTGTGAGGATCGATAATTGCCTGGGGAACTGACACGTGAATGATGGTGCTTTGCACCTGTCACCACCCTCAAGGGCCACAGAGTTCGTAGGGAACGGAATTCATTCATTTGTGTGCTGTTGCTCTGCAGCCAGTGAAAGAGCAGCAGCAGGAGCAGGAAGCATCCAGCAATGGTGTGGCTGTTGCCTTGAAGGAAGCAACCAAAGACATTGTGGTGATCTCTGAAGAACCCCAGGAGATGCCCCAGGAGGTTGGACTCGCAGCTATGTGAACCAATGAGCACAGTGTGAATTTGGCCAACAGAGTGGTTACGGTGGATTGCTGGGTTATGCCGATATGCGTTCACTATCTGCAGCATGTGCTTATTATCTTATGTCTAAAAGTGCAGTCCCTGGCTGCTGTTGACTGGATAGGTGGAGTTCTGTTTGGGGTGCAAGGCGGTCAGGTTGTTGGCTTGTCTGCATCAAGGCTCTTGTGGCCAAACAGCATCCCGAAATGGTTTTAGGGAGGGAAACCTGCCTTCTATGACACAATTGCAGTGGAGGATGCAGTCGAAACCTCAGCAACTGCCATATTTGGCCCTTCCAAAGCAGGACAGGATCAGCCTTGCTGTTCTTAAGCATTGCAACATAATGGAGACGCATTTCATTGCTGCCAGCGGACTGTGCGCAGGACAGGTTGGTTGTAAGATTCTGTGGCAAAGCCACACCAATCACATCAAACTGGTATCAAAACGATATCACACAAGATGTCGAGTCGCTGCTTTTGTGCCTGTTATGTCATATCTGGGGCTGTTCGCACCCATGCGGAATTGTTCCCAACGCACATGTGCTCCTGTTGTTCAGCTGCGACAGGCACAAATGGACAGGTCAGAAACGGATTCCAATGTGGATGACATGGCCCACCGTCACCATGCATGCGATGTCTTTTCCATCACATGACGAGTGCTGTGCAGTTTAGTGTTCATCCTTAGCAGCCTTGATCACTCAGCGTGTCTCCTTGCGCATATTTCTAATTGTCTTTACAATTGCAGCACCTGAAAACCCTATCTGGCCCGTTCCATGTGACTGCATCGTCGTTTCCGAAATCACTTGTAAGTTCTGTTGCATCATGATTTTTGAATAGTCTGCTGTGTGACTGTTGGTTGTGTGGTACCATTTTCTGGCTGACAGAAGCTCTGTGGCGTGATTCAGAACCTGATCGAGGTCAGCAAGAGCGATGGGCGGCAGGACCTCGTTGAGGCCGCGCTGGGCGAGGAGGGACCGGTGATGGCCGAGCCAGAGTATTTCATATGATTCTTAGATTCTACACCAGGCGATTAGGGCAGGTTCTGGGGGTGACGCTTGTACATTAGTCGATTGCGGCAGTGCGACGGCACATTTTTGTTCGTGGCCTTCTGCAAGAGGGGCCATTGAAAGTTTGATTGTGAGGAAAATGACGGGAAGAAATTGCGGTGTCCGTTTCGAATCTCCACAGCCAGGACCGCGAGAATGGAGGAGCGCTGATGGCAGTCTGCAGCGTCACGGCACAACCTAGTTGGTAGATGGTGTACAGCGTTGCTGGCACAGTACTGCACTCGTGGCACAATGTACTGGGAGTGTGTGGTACAGAACGTATTGGCAAAGTACTGCAGTGGTGGCACACTACCTCCAAGGGTGAGGACGTAACGCTGTCGAGCAAGGAGATGTGCGCATTGAATTGCATTTGTAAATCAAGTGGAGGTATTGGTTTGTGGGCGATATGCAGAGCTGTGCGAAGAAAATGGGCTGCTAAAAGAGTTCAGGGAGATTAGTCTCCACCTTTTCATTGCACGAAAGCAATGAGAGACAAGGTTGTTGTTCAAATTCAACCCATGGTGAAAACTGTGCCAATGTTACGCCCATGTGGATTCTTTTAGTTTGACATTCGCCTTTCGGCGCTTTGGAATATTCGTGTATTGGGAAGGCGTTGAGTGAACATGGGTCCAGTACTCCCATGCAGCTGACAAGGTCTGTCCCCCTACGCTTCATTTCCCAGGTCTGGCCCGCCTGCCATAGGAGGGACACTGATCATGACTACCCAAGGCACACATGCACATGCAGTGGTCTGACGCTACAACGCCAACCAATGGAACCATCAGCGTTTTGAAAGGTTTTCAATCCCTGTTGGCCAAGTGCGGCATGTATGGGCAAATGAAACTGTGAAACACAACTCTTGATCTGCTCAACCAGCTGTGCACACTGAGTGAGCGTCTTGTGCAAGCCCAAGAGCAGAGGCGGTCTGATAGACAGCAGCCTCACACTCCAGCACGCACGCCTCAGCAGCTACACGAAGCCGTGTGCTTGCCTAAAATCCAGATACAGCCAATGCCCCCTCGCAATCGCCAGCTTCCGCCATCGCCCTCTCGTGTAGTCACAGCAGACAGCGGTCACAGAGCAGCGGTCGCCAGCGCTATGCGGATGACACTACCTGTCCAGGACGTGAAACACGTGCCCGCGGCCAGCCCACCATGCACCGCGGCGACATCAGCCCAGTCTTCTGAGGTGAGGGCACAGGGCAGGTCGAGCCCACTCCAGCGCTCCTGCTGGCAGAGCTCCCGTTGGGGAACATCAGCAGCTTGTTACAACGATTTGGGCATGTATTGCCGTGAGTCTGATCAGCACAGTCCGTGGATGGTAGTACAGTAAATACGGCACAAAACAAGCACAACGGGGTGTGCACAAGTTCTTCTTCTGATGAGCCACGAAGACGAGGGGGCACGAATCGGGCACTGTGGTACTTACGGCCAAGGTCCTCTGAACACAGTATAGCGCTGCGCTCACCTCCTGTTGGACTGCAACAAGGGAGAATACAATTAGGGGCAACATCTGATCTCAGGTTGAGCCTAATGGAAGGGTATGCATGGCACACGTTGCCGTATTTTGAAGTTGGATACCAACATGCTTGCAACAAGCCTGCAACACTGCACTTCCCCAACAACACGGGTCTGACAACTGACGGCACATCATGAACACTTTACGGACACTGCATCGACAAGACTAATCGCCATGCATGTGTCCTGAAACGCATGTGCTTTGGCATTTCGTTACTCGATCTCTACAAGTATTGACAACTACTTGAAGTATTCGACGCGCACGGATATTTTCAGCCATAATTTGGGGATGAAATCGCAATAATGGTGGTAACGCATTTTCAACATGCACAGTACGTTCCAGCATGACATGAAACACAGCGCACTATCCAATATCTGCTAGCCCCTTTACTACATTTTTCGACAGCGGCCATTCCGACCGTTTGTGCAAGCCTAAACAATTTGGTGACCAACCTTGACCACTACCAGTGTATTTTTGCGAGCATTAAAAAAAATCTATGTCCAACGGGCGTGAAAGCGAGATTTTCCACGTGTAGATACCTACAAGCGCAATACACGACGGTGCCGTTATGCACTCGTTACAATGACGCCCACAACAAATGCTGGCGCCCAGAGGAGATTCGATATGTAGGGAGAAAGGGGCAATAGAGTTCCTGCCCCGCAAAGCACCATTTGCTTCTTTGGAGTACAATCATCAATCTCCACCCATCTCAACTAATCTATTGGCCCTGCAATCTAAATTCTGAACGTTGTTCCATGTACAGTGCGTGAGAGCGCTCCGTTCGCTCCTATCTACAAGGCTCCTGAGTCTCAAAAGATTCGCCTATCCTGGATATGCATACACAGCACATGGCCATATCCTGGGATGTGGTCATATATTGGATATGTATGTCCCGAATATGGATTTATCCTGGATATGCCTATTCGGGATATGGCGATCATGTCATATTCGACGTCCAGGATATGGGGCGTTTCCATAGCAAACATTGGCCGTTTCTGTACAGAAACGAGTGAAACACCGCACCCGGCGTTGCTTCTTTATTTGATGCATCTGGATTAGACGCAGGTGCCCCACATAGGGCAGAACTCCAGCCATCCGTAGCAATCCAACGAAGTCTGTGCCCTTCGTTTGCTCCCATACGTTGTGCGGCTGCTCATTCTGCGAACGCCCACGCGCACTTATCCTCAGGTGGCTCACCAGCAGCGCTGAGTCGAGCTGAACATTTTTCAATCACGAGTCACAGAAGTTGGAAACCTCAGGAAAGAGACTACATTGGCTGCAGAATTTGCCGCAAGATTTGGAGACATTTGTTGTTCGCTATAACACTCCGCTGCACTCAGGATTGTCTATAATCAAGCAATCTGAGAATAGTTGGTCTTAATTCCCAGCTCGCAGCATATTTGATTCGATGCAGTCATATCTTGAATGTATCTGCATTTGCGACGACACATCCAGTTGTTTGGTAAACACAGGATGCACGCATATCTGTTGCTTCAAAAACAGCCGCTTCAATAACCAATGGAAAACATCATTTTGGCGATGCCAACTGCGATGCCATTTGATACTTATTACTGCCATCACTCTCATGGCGATACTTTGCGTCAAAGTAGCATCGCAATTGGCACCGGCAAGATGCTGTCTCTACTGGTGAATATGACCAGAATGAAGGCCAGACAATAAGAATAATACATCAAAATAGAAATGAAACAGAAATATCAAAAAACGTCCAAACGTCATGCTTTCGAAACAAGTTTGGAACACTGAATTAGAACTGGTAATTCCATTCATAGTGATGGAATTCCATAACGAATGCCTGCACTTCCTGTCAGATCCATCCAGCAAATATTTCACATAAAATTAGTCAGTATCCAGCATAAATTTGTCCTTTCTTTGTTGCAATGTGACACATTCCATTGAAAGCGATACTTCTTTTTCTCACAGCCAATGTCCCATAATTCCCTAAGCCGAGTTTTCTGGTGCTGAAACAAAAATAGGTACTCGCAAAAATCACTTCATATTCGCACATGTGAATGTAGAGGAAGGTGTACAAAATTTAAAACGAAATTCAGCGTAACAAAAACATGACAGAGCGTCAGCTCCTAAAACTTCGTGGGCCACCGCTTGTTAGTTCCCTGAAAGAGCCTAACTCGGCATCATGGAAGGGAATCTCTTTCTGCCAGTGAGCCAGGGCCGCGCTTGAAGAAATCGCAACACCATTTCGTCCGAATGATGATTCGGATGACTTCATCTGATCAGATGACGCGCATCGACCATCGGATGGTCGATTCGTTCATCCGAATGAGTCAGGGGCCGTCCAAAAAGCTCCAAAAGGCTTGTTTGGTGATCGTCGTATGATTGTCGAAAGTTTACTTCAATCAGCGCCTTGTGTCTGATGCAGAGCCGTGGTTCAAAGAATTTCCTCTCCCTTTTTATCTGCCTTCGGGTTTTAGGCAACTGTACTTTCTGAGTCTAATGTATTTATGAACGCCAGTTCTCATGCGCGCAAAGGTACAGTGCATCCAAATCAAGCACAATTGCCATGGGACAGAGGAAGCATATTCTCTCGTCATCATTCATTTTGAATTTTTCTCGGTCGAATTCATCACACTGGCTGTAGCAAATTTTGCATCAGAACAATTCCTTGATGGCGGTTTTGGATGCATAAAAGACAGCTTCGTCTCAGTTTACCTCTCAACGCAAGCTGCAGCACATCAAAGGACCCAGGCAGGGGGTCCCACATTTCCAACTCAACACCCTGTCAATTGAGGCCTTCAGCTATGCGAGTAAGCTGACGATGTCCTCATGTGCGTATTTGACACAAAGCTCAACGCTGTTGCCCTGCACTACATGCAAAAACTATTCAGGAACCATCATTTTGATCCAGTTCATAGTCACAGCCCAAATATCATTGGCTTTTAATGGTGTGTGCACTGCCAAGCTTGGCTGCGCTATTCCACAATGCAGGTGGCGGGGGGTTTAGCCAGACGATGTGTGCAGATATGGTTGTGTCCATCCGTAAGGAATACTGGCCCGCAAACTTCTCAACACTGCGTTCACGTTGGTGTTTGCCTCTGCCTAAATCAAGATGCATTCACACTCGTAGTGTCTACCTCCCGTTCATTTGCGCAATAGCTCTTTGCCAGCTGTGGTTTGTGCTGAACAAAAACAAAGAACACACTGGTCCCAAACTGCATGATGTACCATCAATGAATCAAGCACACCTCCATCTACGCGGTCCATGAACGTTCGGTCATAAGTTCTTTTATTCTGAGTGCATTGGAAGACATATACGGATGGGCTCCACCCAGCCCCGTGTCCCTTGAGGAACGGTAGCAAGTGCTGGCACACAATGCCACAAGGCTAGATGTTAGGAATATGTACAACTTGCTGATATCAAAGCTCCTGCAAGCTTTCAAAAACTTTGGTTCAACACAACAAGCCTT